ACACACACACACAGATACACACGTGTACACACGTACACACAGATACACACATGTTCACACTTTATCCACATAGACAAAATACACAACATACCACAGCTTGTCCCTGCGTGCGTGTCCACGCGTCTGTGTATTTGAATTAAATTCAAACCGACAAGAACAAAGCTAAAATTCCCTAAGAGAAAACAAATGACCACAGCAAGGGACAAAGGCTATCCTGTCCAGCACTCAGTGTGACTCTCTCTTCATCACCTCCCAGTCTTCTCTGTGTATTATCCCGGCTTTCTCCTGATGTTCGACTCTATTTGAAAGCACAGTGTGACAGATGTTCGAGAGATAAACTAGGCGATGACGACATAAATGCCAACTCTGAGCTGAAAAAAAATCGAATAATATTGAAACAAAATGGTCTGGGACAGCCAAGGAGAATTAAAACATGCTAACATGGAAAAGATGAAACATACATTTTTCTGTCATCACCTTCATGTGCTAATTGCAGTTTCACACCATTACACCATTCTTGATGTGTTAAAGGCAATCTGAAGTTTCCCTTAAATAAAACAACACGTAAAACATATTGGATCTAAGCTTTGTGCAGGAATTACATTTTTTTTTGTAAGGAACCTCATTAGTCACACTGCAGTAACAGATGGTCCAAGACACTTAACTACAAGATGTCTTTGATCCAATTAAAGCAACACAGTTTTAACTCTGTGCCTTTGGATAGACAGATTTTCAACATCAGCTCATTTCTTGACTCACTTAAAATTTAAATATCTTTATTAGAATAACTTTCGCCATGATATTAATCCAAAAACCTAGATTTCACCCCAATTAAAATGTCATTAATGACAGCCGTACAACACTGATTAGGTCAGCAGAGGTTCAATATAAATGAACCATATTGGTGAGCCAGTTTATATGCTTTGTATTCAGCATTTTTCAGGGATTTCTTAAGGCCTGCTGAACTTGTGAAGAAATAATTACTCATTATATCAGTGAGCACATACTTCCATGTTGTTGTGTTATTTATACTACAAGAAAATTGGTATTGACTCCAGAGCTTCTATCAGAGAACACAGGGTCACTAATTGAACTTGTTTACTGGACTACAGGAGCTCAGTTCCCCGCAGTAGGACCTTCATCACTGCACTAGCAATGAATGCTAGTTCAGATACATGCACCTTCGGACCAGAGGATCTTCCCTACGTGTTACCGTTCAATCGCCTAAAGCTCCGCGGACCGCGCGCAACAAGACACGCCCGGTGCAACTGGTGTACCAGAACGCGGACAACACTTGGCTGTCTACCTTTCACCCTGGCCAACAAGCTTAGCGCTGACAAAAACTGCAGTGCAGGGAAATAGGTATTTAAAACTGAGGAGAACAGGGCCAACCAAGCCCATAAAAATCTATTCTACAGTGCTGGAGAATGTTTCACCCATAAGCTTTGTCAGCATGTTTCTGCCATCTCAGTCTAAAGTGGTAAGCTGCTCCACAGGGACATTATGACCCTCTCACAGCACTTGTAGTGAGAGTAGAGGGAATGCATCTTTCTGAAAATATTTTTACGAGTGCTCTGCGAACCAAAGTGACTTCTGGTTCAATAACTGTTGCTGTCTTTCTTTTACAGGGTCTGCCAGCCTATGACACTCCAGAGGTGTTCGGTCTCCACCCGAACGCAGACATAACCTACCAGAGTAAGCTGGCTAAGGACGTACTGGACACCATACTCAGTATTCAGCCTAAAGACAGCTCGTCAGGCGGAGGGGAAACCAGAGAGGCTGTGGTGTCCAGGCTGGCTGACGACATGCTGGAGAAACTGCCTCCCGACTACGTACCCTTTGAAGTAAGCGCGTGTGTGTGTGCATGTGTGCGCGTGTGTGCACGTGTGTGTGTGTGTGACGTTCCCCTGCTCACCGTGTGTGTTGGTGTGGTACAGTCAGAGCAGTGGGATGTCTGTTGGTGAGGTGATGGAAGGTTTAGTGTGTGTGTTTGAGACAGTGATAGACAGAGAGAAAAGAAGACCAGAAATAGAGGGGGGTGTGAATGGAGCTGGATCTTGCTAGCTTTGTTTTATTTTGGGTTTTCTCTCCTTTTTTGTCACTTAAGAGAAAGTGAGTTGAGAATGTGACTTTTCTGAAGCAAGGCGCAAAGCTTGTCATGGAAAACTTGTCACTGCACTTTACACCCTGCGTCTGCCACTTTCACTTCCACCTATGTGTCTATACAGTATTTTAAAGCAGTGTAAACTAGATTAGCCCCAAAAATGTGTTTTAAAATGGACAGTTGTACAAAGTTCAGATGCCCAACAGAATGAAGGGAAATGCAGAAATGTTCACATAGAAATAATCAAAAAAAGAAGAAATAACAATGAATTTGCAGAATGTGTTCCTTACAGGGGGAATTGACTACAGAAACCTGACCTTCTGTGCTCAGTCCATACCTGAAGCATGTGAACAGTTAAGAAAAAAGCTTATGCAACACTTTAAGATAAGATGTGTATATATTGATCCCCCTTAGGGAAAATTCTAATTAGCACAGCAGCACAAATAAATGTAGTATGAAGAATAAAGAAAATGGAAAATAATTAAAATAAAATGCAACAAAACATATACACCATATACAGAAAAATAGAATAAAATTAGGTTGTGTATATGTACATGTGCGGATGCTTATTTCAAGGTCATCGTGTAGGTATACTGGACTGTAGTCAGTCCAGGTACATTTCCTGCTGCTGCATATGTCTTTCTGTATCTACGCAGCAAGTCTGTGCTCATGCATATTCACTCCACGCATCATAAAACTTGAATGAATGTCCTGAAGAATTAATGTTATTTAATTTAATTAAACAACCAGGTGAGAGAGCGCCTCCAGAAGATGGGTCCCTTCCAGCCCATGAACATCTTCCTACGTCAGGAGATCGATCGGATGCAGAGGGTCATAGTTCTGGTCCGAAACACCCTGACAGACCTCAAGCTGGCCATCGATGGAACCATCATCATGAGTGAGAATCTGAGAGACGCCCTGGATTGCATGTACGACGCCCGCATTCCTGCACGCTGGAAGAAGGTTGGTTAAGAGAACTGCCTTAAATTAAATGTTTTAAACTGAACTCACTGTCCCCTTGTCACTTGTAGACTTAAACTTCAGGCACACTTTATTTGGATAGTGTATGAGATTCAACA